CCCCCCTCCTCCTCCACCTTTTGTATGCATGAGCGTACTTGGTGCGTCCGTATGTGTTCATGCCTTAGACGTACGCACTTCATTCCAATTGGTTCGTTAATAATTCATAGGTTTTTAGGGAGTTAATTTAGGGAAGTTGATTTCTACCAGACGCTATTCGAACACGGAATAATTGAGTACTGTATATTCATCACTAAGCATACTACACTAACTATAAGACAGCTTAATAAAAAGGGAAATTTATGCCATTCTTTTTGAAGTGCCGAAAGAGGTTGAATTAAACAATTCGCTGCGTGGCTCTTTTTTTAATTTGAAAAGCAATTTACTGGCGCTAAACTAACGTTAATGTAGGAGACTTGTCTAAAATCAGCACAAGCGACATTTTGTTTTGATACAAAATGAATTACGTCTTACCCTTTCCTTCTCCACAAAATCAATGAATGCGGCCCTTTCGACCTCGATTGGATGTCGATTTCGATCATAAAGTGCCAGCACAAAGTGGAAGAAGTTGCTTTTTCGTAGGTTATTCGGCGGCTGTTTCTCAAATCTGGCTGAATGAACCTCGTTATGAGTCCCGCGTTGAGAACACCTAAATAGTGAAGAGAAAAGGTCTACCCTTTGTTGTTCAATAATATACCTAACATTCCAAAATTATATATATTTACAATAAGACAGGGTTGTAGTTTATAACAACGACTCCCGGACTCACTTAAGGAAGCGCTTTTCAACATTCATTTTGAGTAGTGAGTGGAAAAATGGAGCCCTCCAAGGGAGAGGCACAGATTCTATTGCCATCTCCTCTAGCCATGCTTAACTTATATGGTTGACTGTTTAGTGGACGGACCTCTGACATATAGCGATCAATGTGCCTCCGATGCAATAGACAGGCATTTATTGCATGTTTTCAAAGCTTTAATGAGCTCGAGAGATAAGACGTGAAAAAGGACAATTATTTACCACATATTCTTTAATTACCATTAATTATGTGATTATTACGTGTTGATCATGTATGGGCTATATTAGTCACATTATAGTTAAAATCTACCTCGAATGAGGAAGAGAAGAGTAGAGATTATTTGAGTAACGAATGAATTACATTTACTGTCTGGATGTTCGAATATTCAAGTGGTAGTAACTATATTGTAAAATTATAAAATTTGAGACTTCATTCCTTGCAACCCCATTTGATTCGATCTCCTAATTTAACATTTTATGAATTGCCTATCTCCAGCAAAAAAACCTTCCCTATTTCCCCTTATGATCCACTCCCCTCTCCCGCACAACATTTCCCCTGAGAGACCACTCAACAGGTGTGTGAGATGGAGGATAATTGCCGGTGGTTTATGACATCTAATCCCTACTTCCTTCCCCCCCCCCCCCCCTCCATTTTTTCCTCTATTCCATTTTCTAGTCCATCTCATTTCTGTTGAACATGCATGAGAAATTAAATATCATTTCATAGATCATTTTATATTTAATTTAAAAAAACCCTCAGATTACGATTAATTCATCTCAATAGTTTGCATTAAGTGGTATAGACTTGGGCCGTTTCGCTGATGAAGGATGTCGAATGGAAGTACTGGAGTTCAATTCCCGAAAAAAATGCACCATGTCAAAGCAACTGAACTAACCTTTGAAACAAACCCGAGTATCCAACCATTGTTGGTGGGTTAGTACCAGCACCTGCTACAGTCTGAAACATGCCAAACCTATTCGGGGAATTCATTCCGCTCGGTACTTGGCCGAATCCACTACCACCCTCCACAATGCTTCCAAACTGATTACCGGTTGGGGGATAAGTCTGGAGACCCCCAGCAGGCTGATAACCAACTTCTGATTGATTGAGGTGATTATGAGCATTATTGACATCGGTTTGATGGAGGTGATGGTGTTGGGCGATCCAGGATCGGACAAAGTTGAATTGAGTGGCGGGAGAGGTAAAGAGAGTCGCGTCATCCGTGGTTGGAGCTGTTGTGGGGTTCACATAGCCCCGTTCATCTGATTGGCTGGAAAAGGGTGGGTAACCATTTCGATTTCCGGAGGTGTATAGTGGTGATTGATCAGTACTATGACCACTAGAATTTTGGAATGTCGATTCTTCACCTCCTTGACCTTGACCCGATGGCTGTTGAAAGTGAGGTTGCTGATGTGTGAACATCTGTGTCATTGGTTAATCTAATTAATAAAGATAATTAGTCAATATTTTATGCTCATTGATACACCATTACTATTTAAATAGATATCTCGATTCCTTATTACTGCTTCCTACCGCTTCTGCTAAACAAAAAAATTTACTCGCTGATATTTAAGACTTCAATATGAATCAGATAGTAGGCTTGATCACTTTCTAGTATACGGTACTCTGAAAATCACCGGACGCCTCAATTACCCAACTTTTTCGCTTTAACCCCCCCCCCCCCTGAATCCTTCAATAAAGTAGATGTCGAACCTAAATTGATGTTTAGAATGTAATAAAAAAAAATGCGACAACAGATGTCTATGATCAAATTTAACTGTATATTTTTGGGCTGAAGTTATGGACTTTTTTAAATTTAGGTTAATTTCAATTAACAATCCAAATGCATGCTTCTATAATGTAAAGTATATTTCACCGGATCTACAAAATTTCTAATTATCGGTGTTAAAAATCTTGAGAGTAGTTTTACCGAAGTGGCCTAGACACAAATGAATCTTTTATCAGTGGATTCTAGTCACCTTATTCATGCTGTGCAAGAGCTTAACTGAGCCAGTAAAAGAAAAAAATCAATAGCGAATAAGCAAACATACGCACCTATTCACTTCTTCTGCTTCTTCTTCTTCTACTATTTCGCCACACGTTTCTATTTTCTTTTCTCCCTAGGGGGTTGCAGTAAGGAATCGGGAGGGTTAAAGTTGATCCTCTGGGCATTTATCTTTTTCCTCCGCTCTCAACTCCCAGCAGAGGTTTGTGTGGTTCCCCTTCGCTGGTGATCGAAAAACCAAAATACGGCTCAGTAGCAGTAATAGAGTTGATCTTTTAACTTAATACACTCGTGTCCCTCTAGTGTCTTTGCTCCCAAAGGTTTTGCACAGTTGACTGCCCTGTGGGTGTAGTGATGCTCTCAAAGGACCTTCTTTGCAAGAGAAGCAGAAACAGAAGCGGTATAAGCAGAGGCTTGTTCACAAGTTGAATGCAAATGCCGTAGGACATAAGAGCCACAGAAAAGCAAGTAAAACATACGCGCGCGGACGTGTTATAGGCCACTAGGGAACGAGAGTCCGCACGCTGGTGCGTAGGAGCAACCCGCGCTCATCAAATATTCGTTAAATTCCCAGTGGGCAAATATCACCGGTCTTATCCCCTGTGGAGAAGGTTGGACTTGCTACACCTCAGTGCGTTCAAACTTGAATGAAAGGGGGAGGGGGGAGTCGAAGGGGTGGGTGGTATGAGTATAGGCAACTGGCTATTGGTTAGGGGGGGGGGGGAGATGGCAAAGGTAGGCTGTGATTGGCTCGCGCGAATGTGGTGAAACTCTCTTGGGACGCAGCACCACATGATTGGCTGGTGTGTTTCTTGGGTTTATTTTATGCTGTATGTTTGATAAGAGGATAGAGTCAGCTTAGAAATACATTGACCAATAATAAGATTAATTTTTTATCACTTGCGCTTTTCATATAGCAATGCATATAAGTGGAATCAATGTAATATTCAATTTATTCTCAATATTTCGCACTAACGCATATGTTGAAGTAATATAAAAATTACACTTTTGAATCATGAGTGTATATAACTTCACCTTGAAATTATATCGTAGTTTATAAAAAGTCTATTTTTGTACAATATGCGTGGCTTTTAAGCTATTTTAAACGAATTCAAACTATATCTGCAAGTGAAAATATGGCGATTTTGGAACTCTTCTCTTTCACTCAGAGCATTTTGATTCCCTAAGATTTGTTTACTAACAGCAATTAAATATCATACAACATAATGAACTCCTCATTTTATTGCACACCTGATAAAATTAGTTTGAGAAATTTGCCCATTTATTAGCAAAATAGCTACAAATGTGGCTTTAATATAGATCTCAGAATTTCAAAACCAAATGCAACTCACTATTACAAGTGAGATAAGTTAAATTTATTGAACAATTACGAGTAATCAACATGACCAAGCACAATAGAAATGTCCGGTTTATCCCTGTTTTAAAGTTAAATAACTTTCCTTCAATATATTGGAGGTACTTTAAAATTTCATAAAGACTTTTCAAAGTCAGCATTTGAATGAGTCAGGTAACTTTGCCCCTTCTTCATTTGTTTATTTCATATAGTCACTAAGTTCACTTCCATCAGGAAGGCAGGAAGCCAAGGCGAGGATCTAAAAGGAGCAATAGGCATAAATGAGTGAAATAATGCTTTATACCTAGAATAATCCCTTGACGCATTTTGGCACCCATCTCGAATGGTGTGATTGACCTTTTCACTCAATGAGTACGCGCTAATGGGAATTGCACTTGTGGTTCCGAGAAGAAAAGAAATTGGCGTTGTTTAAAAAGACAAAATATAACTTGGTCACGCAGTAATAGTCCCTAATCAGCTGTAATCAGGCAATTAGTTCAATATTCAATCGATTTTTTGCATAACATGCCACCCTTTTAGTAAGTTAACAAATATGTGGGATTTGGATTTGGTTCGATTAGGAGGAGAAAGGTTATAGTTCTTGAGTTACTCATTGGAATATAAGTTGTGCCATTGATTATAAAGTCCACAGTCTACGAAAATTATAACTTACGCAATAATTATGCGATAATCTTGCGAGGAGCAATTTAGTTGAAGTGCATAATAGAGTCATATTTAATTCCAATTCAAGATATAGTTTAACAAATTAACTATTATTTTCTTAATTTATATAAATAACATCGTTATGACGTGTTGTTTGAAACATCAAAATCTGTACTCCGAATTCTCGGTGTCTAAATCGATTCCTTTTCGTCCCTTTCATTCAACCTAACTTTTCACAACTTTCCACTTTTTTTCATACCCCCTTTCTGGCACGGATCTAACTCGACACATTCGTTATTGAATCGTGTCACCTTCAAAATTAGTTTATTAGGTAGGTCAGGGGAAAGCAGTAAAATCCAAATTAATCAGATTATTTAAAAAAAACCTAAGTATTAAAATTGGAACGACCTTTTGTGTGACTGTGCCAATTCGATATATTCATCTCTTCAAATAAATGAAATTGATCCAAGTGCACACTTTGAATGGTATTTAAGAGGCAAATTTCATTAAATTTCAGAAATAAGTCAATTTTATGTTGAAATATAAATTGCGATCGATAGATGCACGTGTGGTAGCTTAATTCATGGTATGAAATCTCCAAAATGGACTTTAAGAGAACTGCTAAACAAGTTACTGACAACTATATAAGGGAAAAAGAAATTCAAGACGAAAATGCGAAAATACTTAAACGAATCAAGCCTAAGGCCAACATTAACGACAAAATATTGAAGGATCCGGGAGAATTTCGAAAAAGCCGAGTGCCCCGAATTGAGTAAGTTACTTGGAAATAAAAATTATTACATTTAGCCCTTCGTACCCTTGAAGAAAAAGCGAATTTTAAATGTCCTTGAATAGTTATTCCTTTACTGATAATTTACTTCTTTAAGCTCGTTCTACTATCTGGTTATAAGTAGAGTCACGATGTCAATAATCAAATTTTAACAAATTATTGGAGCTTCAACTCTGATTATTCTAAGGACGATTATCATCTACTTTAGGGAGCTCGTTAGTTTTCCTTCCCATGATCCTTCGTTGATGTCACTGAAACAATTGCGAGAGCATGTACGGGAGAGGGCAAAAACCATTAGAGCTGAAAATCGTGACAAAGAAATGAAACCCAACTCGGAAATGCCCAAATTTAAACAGTCAGACAAACTTTCCGTAAGCGAAATATATATTTTATTATAGCATTTATACACATTATTTCATGACTAAATTGTTTCAAGCTTTGGTTGTATATTAATGTTAAGGCATTGTTCTTCTGGCATGTAGCGGATTGCTATATCAATAAGGCTTTGACTAGCCCAGAAATCTCTATGACAGATTCACCTATATATTTGACCAGGCTCCCAGAACTAGCTAAGATACAGCTCAGCCATAAAGAGAACAGACGTATCACAAGGAAAGCGTTTATTTGTAGGAGTTATTTATTTATATCAAATGGCAGGCATCTTGATAGTTATCATTAGCCCTTTAGTTGACTTCAGGCTCCACTGAGGGGAAGGAACATCAAAGTGAAATAAGTCTAGAGAGAGGGGGGTGGGTAATAGAAAAGTATTTCAAAGATGTAATAGACAGATACAAAGGTAGAATAAAGGTGAGGTGAGTACTGTGAAAGTGGTCGAATATGGCATACAGTGGGGTGATGGTAGTTTGAAGTCAGAAGTCAACTGCCGGTTAGTAGACTTTTTTGCCGTATGAGCATACGTTGCCCAGGATGCACTACGTGAAGGTAAGTCTATCGCACACCCTTATTTTGAGGAGTATATTTTAGCAAAAGGCATTAGTTACCAAATAAAGCTAGCATAACTTGAGTGCACATTAATGGCAAAATATCGGAGTAATGCTCTGCACGTATGCCAGCACACTCCCAAACGTTCGGACGGACATTTTATTGGGTGCGAATTTTGTACACCGGAGGCCTCACCAACGGCCGAAAGAAGGAAAACACCGAGTATTACAAAGTGCAGAATTAACCCCAAGTGAATCCGAAGAGGAGATCATTTTCATAGCTGTGAGTAAAAAGCGCATGATACCGAGAGAGAGAGAGAGAGAGAAAGGAGAAAATATAGGTGCCAGAAATACATGATCAAATTGAATTAGCTTCAGTCTCAATCCGGACTCTTTATAATTTTGATCAAAGTATATGGAATTTCAGAGACTTCCCATATATTCAATCTTCGCTTCAAATGGTTTGATTTTGTAGATAGGCCTTCATGGAGGAGGAGGAGAAGAAGGAGAAGCAGAAGAAGACAAAGAATGCGAAGAAAATTTGACCTGCGAAGACCAACTACGCGTTAGAGTACCCTTCTTTTTCTTCGAACAGCACATTGAGCGCTTTACAAAGGACCAATTAAAAAGTCTGGAGTACTGGCAAACAGTGACACGACACCAATGCGATCACCAACACGCAGAGCTTCTAGACCACCTCGACGACTCACATTCCTACTTCAATCGTCTTCACAATAAAGACCCACCCTATTGGCAGACTGGACTGCTCGATGTGGGGAATTTGTATGCCTATCGTTATAAAGATGTAAGCCAATTACGAAGTTGCGTAGAAATTAGTATTTTAAAATGTTGGCAGTAATAATGCTTACTTTAGATGATGAGGCATTTACTTGGCGAGAATAAGCATGATAGGAATTCCTCCCGGGAGACTTTAATAAGGTTTACACTACCATTCAACTTAAATCAACTTGAGGGTACTTACTATTTTTTATTAACTTTTTGTTTTATCTTCAAAGATATGGGTCCAATGGAGTATATAAGCAACTACTGTATTATCAGTGACACCCGAATACCATACTATACACGATTTTTTAACAAATACAAAGATAGTCGAAATCAGCTGATAAGAATAAAGGTAATTAACAAAATTTTAATTGAAACCAGGACAAATTTATTACTAAAAGCAAAGTTAAAATATTAATTGCTATATGTATATATAAACGACATTTCACAATTGGATGAACTGGAATAACAATGTACAATGCCTTAGGAAATAGAGGAACCATTGAGTGCTCTTATTGGGGGATCGTTCAAGAAAAGCCAGGTTGAAGAGTTACTTTCATTGCTTTCAATTAGCGATAAAGAATATGCGTTAGAAGTGAATGAATTCATGAAAATATGCGCTCTGGCTGAACGACTATTCTATTGTCAAAGCCTGTAAGTCTCCATTGGAATATTTATCATGCTATTAAAATACTTTAAGTAACCTTTTTATAACAAATATAGACGAATTTACGGGGAGGAAGGTTATGCGATGCAACAGGGCAATTTAGAAAAGGCCGACTTTCACTTGATCATAAAGAAGTTGGGAAATGTAAAGCTGACCGATTCGTTGCAAAAATTCTTTCAACGCTTAGACTTATTTAAATAAACTGAAATACTATGGTTAAATCAGTGAGTCATTCATAAGAAGATGTGATGATTTTATCAGTTAACTTTGCATTTGAGCTATAAGGAGTAGGAATGAAATAGCAGTGCATTAATCTGGCAAATCCCATGATTCAAGAAACAGGTAAAGGTAATTTAATTACAGAGGTGAAGAGGGGTGGGGGTGATTTCAGGGAATGAGAAATCTGAGGAAAAGAGAAGGCTGTATTCTCATCTTCGTAGTAATTGTCATCTATTAAACAAGGACTTCCACCAGTTTGTATTAATTCTGTATTTTGATGATGTCCTTATTCTTATTCTTCTCTGTGCACACGGTTTTAATAAAGGCCGATGATAGTGAGTTACATGGTGCACTATTTCCATATTACCTACATCTTTTATTTGCTGGAGAGAATATTTTTACTAAGATTCTACATCTTCTTACTCACTAACCACCTGCATCACATCTACAATGAGCTCTTTTCATGATAAATATTACGTTTGCTTCAATTGAAAATTCAATAAAAGTTCAACGATTGTACCACCTTTTCCTGACGTACTTAGAATGTTAAGTTTAAGCGTCTGCAAATTGCGCGATGAGGTTTATCAGAGGAACCTTTTCAGCCCGCAAGACCTATTTTTCTTCTGCGCAAAAGAGCAGCATCATCCGTAGATTTATGTTCTGAATGGCATTTAATATGTTAAGGCCGCCTTGAGGCAGACAATAGTTAATAAACAATAAAGAAAAACAAGTTAGACGAATGCTTCAAGCAGTTTTGTTTGAGTTCTAATACAAGTATTTCCTACCTTTAAACTGACCTGAGTAACACCTGGCGTCCTTTGGCCTTTAGGATATCAAATCCTACATTGTCATCAGGTTGGCCTTTATCATTCAGAGGAGGTCCAAGATGCGCATAGGTACTTGATTGAAATATTCTGTATTAATGATTTGAACCTTCTTATCAGTAGATTGTCCATTTTATTTGTCATTTCAGTTGAATATTTCTAAATTGCTAACTTGAACCTCCTTAGAAGTTTTTAGCTTGCCTAAAGAAATTAATAATATGAAATGAGTCGTCTACATATTCAAAATGTATAAGTGGCCACTCGAATGCAATAGAATTCAAGAACTCGCAGATTGCATGGGATTCCACAGATATAAGTTGAATAAATTAATATATATATCGTAGGTTCATCTTTGAATCGTTGTTTAACGCCACTTCCCACTCTCCTTTATATCAGTGTTATACAAAGCGAGTGATTATGCTCCAGAGCACCTTTAGTTTCCACTGCCTTGTTGACATTCTGAAGATGGAACATAAAGGATGGTCATCATTAAGACCACGTAGGCAAGCATTTACTACCCAAATTTTCGTAGACTACCTCGCTCTCTTATTACGACCATAGAACTGTAATTCTGACATTATTTATCATCAGTTATTCTTTGACTACTCAATTTCAAAACTTTCTGTCCACAAATTTTTATAAATATTATGAATTAATAATTAAATCATATTAAGTCACAGCAATTATTACAATATATATAATAATTTGAAATGAACTTCTTACTTTTCGATTTGCTGATTTTAAGAAGAGTAAATACCAACGTCTACATTTTCAACGCTTAAATTAATTTCATCTCAAGATATTTTTGCATTAATAAGCTAAAACTTGGTAATCTATCTATTAGTGTTTATTTCGAACTGCCATGATATATGTCCTTCGATTGTATTAGCGGTTGAAATAAATACCTTTGGATTGCGCCTATTCGGGTTACTGGAGACTGCCTCTGGTTCGCAGGTCTATTTGATCTACTCAAATAACCTAGCTATTTATTATTTTCAAAAAATAAATTTACAACGTAAGCACGTCAAAATTTAAAGTAGCTTAACAGACATAATCCTTAATTTTTATATTGACCATGTTTCTTAATATGCTCTCCAATATATAGAAATTAATATGATTTTTGTAAGTCCAACGTGGTGGTACTTTGTTAAAAATCATCAATAATTATTAATAAAGTGTAAGTTCATATATTTTACTTTGCTTTCTGTTGACGTTGCCAGTTAAAGCTTTTACTATCCCATATATTATTTTCGCTTTTTGACGTTTATCCAAGTTTATTACAACTGAAATGGACTACTTATTTCTCATTTTATTTTATTTTTGGGTGTTGTGTGAAACTGCTTCTGCGTTTTCCGGAGTTTCATATTTTATCTGAAAACATTTTGTGCGTTATTGTTAGTGGGTGTACGTGTTTTTTCCAGCTCTTTTTTACTTTTGGCAGTTTCATAACCCCTAAACTATGGAAGCCCCTAAGTGGGGAAGTGGTCACAAATTCGTAAAAGAATACTTTCGTATCGTAAATGAAAGAATGGCCAAAGTTGGCAAGAAAAAAGAATGGTTGAAACATTTCGGTGAAGCTAAAACGGATTTTGAACGTGTCTGTTACCTTCTTAAATCACTTGAGGCTTCTAATGAAGGTAATTCTTGCAATAACCACACTACTTGTTTAGTTTCTTCTACAAATATTCCATTTTTTATTGTTTCATTTCAGATAAAACAGGTGTTGGGGTGTTGGGTCTACCGACCAAAAGGGACGAGGTCGTCAAATTCAATGTAAAATCAGATGAATTTGCTGATAAGATTCTTCTCTCATTGAAAACTCAAAAAGACGTCAGTAAGTCACTAGACTACGTTAACAGAGCATTATTCTTTGCTGAATCTGACGCCGCAAAACTTAGAGTCCTTGGAATTCGAGGCCGCCTTCTCTCTACTCTGGTACATTTGTCTCTTTTTTGACTAATTTAATCTCTTCTAGGGTGAATTAAGGTGTTTTAGAGGAGAACCACCCGAAGTTATTAGTGAAGATTCCTCAAAACACAAGAAAACGAGTCATGAAAAGAGTGAAGAGGTTTCTTGCCATCTTTCTGCCTCTCCGAACGGTCGTATTCAATTGAGAAATACGGGTAATAAGCGAGGATGGACATTGGAGGTGACGCAAGATGTCTCAGTTGGTAAGACTTGGTCTTAATGTTTGAAATTACTTCCTTCTCTTGGAGATAACGCTTGGTATTTCCTTCCTTTACTATTAGGTGACGTGCTTATGGTGGACAAACCCTATGCTTCAACTCTACTTTCGGATCATTTTGGTACTCATTGCTATCACTGCTACAAGAGAACTTTGTCACTTATACCATGTCATCACTGTCCATATGTAAGTTGTCTACAACTGTCAGTATTATCATAGGAAAGAATGACTTCTAATCATTAGGCATATTCAATATCGAGCAAATATTTGTACGCTTTATTCAGTGTGAGTTCGAATATCCCTACATTGTCAGATATATTCGCCCCCCCCCCCCCCCAACGATAACAAAATGCATTTTTATTTTTATGACGGCTATATTGATCTCTATGCTCTCATGGTATAATCTCTATCTGTATTTCACTATTTTAATGACTGATTATGCACCACCCAGACTTGATCTTGAGCTTTCGGGCTTGACATACGTGAACGTCATTATTGCCTGATTCTATTGGGTGGGCAACAAAGTCATTGCCGTTTTTGTTGACAGATTCACTCTATACTTTCTTTTGTTTTGTTAACGTGGCCAGAGCATCTAACCTATATTTTTTTCTTACTGTATGGGCTTCTAGGTTAATTAGTAAAAAATTTTTTATTTAGTTCTTTAGTTTTGTTTTTATCCCAATTCAAAAATGAAAGAACAGGACGTGCACTTCCGACACATTTTATTGTATTACTTCCGAAAAGGCAAGAACGCATCGCAAGCACAAAAGAAGAAGTTATGTGCCGTATATGGAGATGAAGCCTTAAAAGAAAGGCAGTGTCGAAATTGGTTTGAAAGATTTCGTTCCGGTGATTTTTCACTGAAAAATTCACAACGATCTGGCCGCCCAGTCGAAGTGGATGAAACCCATATCAAGGCCATTATCGATTCAAATCGTCACAGCACAACACGAGATATTGCAGAGAAGCTCAATGTGTCGCATACATGCATTGAAAAAAAAAATGAAAAACCCTTGGTTATGTCAAGAAACTTGATTTATGGATCCCTCACCAGTTAAAGGAAATTCATTTGACGCAACGGATTAGCATCTGTGATTCGCCGCTACTGAAACGCAATGAGAATGAGAATGGTCCATTTCTGAAGAACCTAGTTACTGGCGACGAAAAGTGGATAGTTTATAACAATGTTACTCGCAAGAGATCATGGGTGAAGCAAGATCAACCAACCCAAACAGTATGAAAAGCAGAGATTCACCAAAAAAGATAATGCTGTCAGTAGTCTGGTGGGATCACAAAGGAATTTTGTATTTTGAACTCATGCCGCAGAACCAAACGATAAATTCAAATGTGTATGTTGAAGAACTCGAAAAACTGAAAGAAGGATGCAATTGAAGATAAGCGGCCGGCATTATCAAATCGGCGGAAGGGTGTTGTTTTCCATCATGATAACGCAAGGCCCACCCCCCACACATCTTTGGTTACTCGGCAAAAATGATTGGAACTGGGTTGGGATGTTTTGTCACACCCACCATATAGCCCTGACCTTGCGCCTTCGGATTACCATTTGTTTCGTTCCATGCAAAACTCTTTAAATGGTAAAATTTGTAACAACGCGGATGATGTCGGATCACACCTAATTCAGTTTTTTAATAGCAAAGACCAGACATTTTACGAACGGGGAATTTTTACTCTGCCAGAACGATGGAAAAAGGCCATCGACAAGAACGGTCAATATCTAATTGAATAAAGTTATATTTTTGAACAAAAATTCCGAATTTGCCTTCTTATTTGAAATCGGCAACGACTTTGTTGCCAACCTAATACTTTTGTACGTTTTCGCGACTCTAAAATTAGTGTTGATTTGTTATGTTGGATGGCCAATTTTATTTAAATGAGAGAATTTGCCAAGTTACTATTAAAAGATCGTACTAAGCTTCTTCAATTTACATCTCAATATTGAGGCTATAGACAGTGGGATGGATACTGAAAAGTGTCCCACTGATCAGGAGGTGAAAATGTAAGATAGATCGTTAGATATTTTTAGAAAAAGTTAATTGTAAGCACTTTGCAAGGTTTCTACATTTCTCCTTCTCCTGTAGGTTGGATTTTGCAGTGAAACTTGTGCGGAAAATGCGAGTAAGGACAAATTGCCCGCCTCGGCTGAGGGCACGGGTCGACATGTCTACGATTGCCATGGAATTGTGGCTTGTATTATTTTGGATAACTACGCTGGCTGGTCAAAAGAGAGTAAGGATTCCATTGGTGGACCGATTGTTGCTCGCCTGGCTTTCGCCTGTGTCGCCAACACCAATCCCGACACTCTTCTTGATTACATTTGTTCAAGTGGACGCTATGCGGTGAGTGTATATTGTAATTTTTTAATTCTGATCCAATAATGGTACTTAGTAAAGTGGCTATAGATTCCACCAAAAATGTAATTGTCTGTTGATATTAGGCTCGCGATATACCTTCATAGGACTAAAGGTTGAATGAATGAGTGGGGTGGGATGGGGGGGGGAGTGGGGGAGTAGACTGAGTACTGCCAATTTTCAGGTGTTTTACTTCCCATACTCACTTTAGAAAATTGTATTAAAATTTGACTTGGGTATAGGAATGCCATCTTTTTGGGGGCAATTCTAATTCTATTATTCTTTTTGTGGATCAGTGTTTTCCATGTGCATCGTAAATTTGCATCAATCTCTTGGCGTATGGCTTGACAAATGAGCCTATTAACTACCTCGCTAATAGCCATTCTATTACACTGAGAAGAGGACGAGAGCGGCTGCGTCCTAACTTCTATCCCTCAATATTCACGAAATAACAGGGTCGACTGGTAACAGATCACTGTGGATGATGTTTAGCAATATTCAATAATGCTAGTGAAATAACAGAAAGGTAAAAGTAATTTTACTAGTTCACGTAAACGATTTAATAAGTAAAAGTTACTACAATACAGGAGGGAATTAAAAGTACAATTTATTATTATTATTATTATTTCGAATGGCAGGCTTTGTGATATTTATCATTAGCCCTTAAACTTTGACTCCAGCTTCCCCCAAGGGTGGGGGGTACATTTATGACAGATAATTAACAGCAGTTCATTAGCCGTCTTCTTGCTTCCCAGTATCTCTGGCTTTCCGTCGTTGTCTTTAGAGCTGGACATCGAATCAGGTGGGTCTTCTCCATTTCCTCCTGTAGGTTACATAGGGGGCATGTGGATTGAGTGTATACTCCCAATCTGTGAACGTAGTCAAAACTCAGCAACGGCTTCGATTCTTGACCAGTCGGCTATATCGGAGAGTGCCACTGTCCACTATTTCGCCTTTGTTCGAGCTTTAAGTTCGTTGCACCTTGAGGTCTGGAATTCTC